TTATAAATCTACCACTATTACAAATAAGTCTACGATTGCGAACCATCAATAAGTCTACCAACCACTTAATAAATCTACCAATCGCAAATAAATCTACTATCACATGAACGGTAGACTTATTTTGCTGCCTCATTAATGGTAGTTTCGTAAATACGTTTTTTGTCTTCAAAGAAAATAAGGCTAAAACGGGTATAATAAATCTTTGAAGGTTGTTTGAGTAATTATGAAATATTAGCATCTTTTTGGTCAAAAAACCATTTTTCAATGTTGTTTCAGTAAACTTCTCTAAAAAGAATTCAGCTTTCTGTATGCTGAAAAAGAAGTTTATCAAAAAATTCAAGATAAAAAAATGAACTAATTCACAATATTGAAATTTAACGAGTTTTAAATTCCCGAATATTCAACTAATTTATTAATTCTTTATAACGTACTCTCTTTTTTTTGACAAATAAGCCAGGGGTCGTGACGTTTTTCCAGAATTTTTTGTAGACCCCTCTGAGATAAAAAATCTTTTCTGTGCAATTCCAAATGAGAAGTAAGCCATCGTATCGGTAAATATGCTGCGTTTTGGACCTTGGTAAATAAGTGTTGGCTTATTGAATATGAAATTGTTGTGTTTTTTCTGCGACTGTCGAAAAATGATTAGGAATTTAGAGAAGCTATGAGCTGTTTGGCTGCGTCTTTATCTGTAAAGAGAATATGAATGATGATACCATGTGCTCTCAATTATATTACTGTTTCAGTCCGTTTCTCCCCCAATTATTGCTCAGTATTCGGTGAAACAAGAAATTATTAATGTGAGGATTCATTTCATTTCAATATATTTGTTGAAAGACTATGGGCACAAGCTTCTTTCTTTCCTGGAATCCAAGAAAACAAAAACTCCCAAAACCTAAAAGACCCAACAAAGTTTACTCAAACACTAATTCCACGATGTTGAACAAGAAAAAAAAACCTCTAATTACATTAGATACAAGCAACAAAATATTGAGACCTGCGATCAAATTAAAAATTGAAGATACTTAAAAAGTCTCAGAGATCTGGTAATGTAATTTTTATCCACCTTTTATGTATATCCTAAGATAAAAAAAATTATCATCAGACCAAATCTGTCTCCCCAAACCTAATGAGCCACAAGTTTATGAGTATTACTCAGCTACTCAAAACCTTCTGGCTCTCTGCTAATTTCTTAAATAACTCAAAACATATCCATTATTAGGTTTAACATTCCGAGGTAGAACCAATTCAACGGTGTTTCAAATGCAGATTTAAACAAAAAAAGTCAAATTGATGCTCTAATTATCATCAACATCAAGGAGTGGAGTCAAATGACCCAAATCTATACATATTATTCTTTAGGGATTGAAACTAACTAAGATCAAGAAACAAAGATATAATTTTTGGTCAAATCGCAAGAAGTACAAAGTGTAGACTTAGAAAGAAAGAAAAAACAGAGTAAATGTGAAAAATGGGAACCTTACAAAGAAAAGAATAGAGATGTATGGAGATGGATCACTCAGAATGAAGAAGAAAGTGATTCTGATATGTAGCGATGGAAGCAGAAGCTGAGCCATAAGTAAAAGCTTGATCACGATCGTCTTCTTCGAGATAGAGCAAACGTAGAGGAGGAGGAAGACATAGAAAAGTCAAGAGCCATAAAGCGAATCGACCCAATTGCTGGATCGGTAAGAAGCAGACAAGCTCAATCATCTCGCGGCTGCTAATGCGATCCGACAGTGGAATCCGACGTAATCGCTGCCAAATCTCCGCCGACAAATGGGCTATTGACAGAACAGTGCCGCCGTTGAACACCATATGTCCGTACTGTATTTGTTCAGAAAACGTGTAAGAGATGATGATTCCGTCGGATTTGTCTGTCTGCCACATTGACTTGAATATTTCTTCATCATCATTACATATCTATTAGTGCCTAATCCGATTAATTTGTTCATATAAAAATATATTCAGAAATTAAATTGGTCATCCACCCTTTAATTTAATCGTGGACTTTCGGTTTAAATTTGGTTTAACTAAGGAATTGGCCATCATACCGA